AGACGTGCAACTGCCGTCGCAAGGACCAGTGCCCTCTCAACGGAGCGTGCCAAGCAACCAGCATAGTCTACGCGGCGGAGGTGTCGAGTGATGGCCACAGCGATGGGCCCAAGACCTACATTGGCAGTACGGAGCCTCCATTCAAGCTTCGATACGGGAACCACAAGACATCCATCAAGCTTCCTGGATACCGCAAATCCACGGGCCTCTCAAAGCATGTGTGGGAATTAAAAGATAATGGCAAGACGCACGACATCAAGTGGCGAGTTGTTCAGAAGGCCAAGGCCTACAGCAACATAACGAAAAGATGCAGCCTGTGCCTCGAGGAGAAGGCGAGAATAATCACTGCCGACAGGAGATCGAGCCTCAACAAGCGGTCGGAGTTGATATCCAAATGTCGACATCAAAATAAATTCATGCTGTCAACACCGATAACATGATCTTCTCGGTACCCTGCTTCCAGGCAGTAGAGCCAGTTGATAGCTCTCTGCCGCCTTGTCACCATCATCATCTTTGCACCACGGAACTCACTAGCTAGGCCAGCTCGGTTTTATCACCTTTATCACCTTAGTACCGCGATCCTTACTGGCTATGACACTGAATCGGATATGAGTTGATAGCGCCCAAAGAAGCCTCGTTTGGCTCATTGCGAAGGTCAGTGGTGCAGTGGTATGTGCAGTTGATTTCCAATCAAGAGATTGTGGGTTCGATTACCGTCGATTATGGTCACACACATCGTTCTTGTCACTATTCTTTCATTCTCCTGGGTGGTTACCCACAACAGCCAGTGCATGGCGGAGTGTGTGGAGTGATGTGTGTGCGGGGAAAAGAAATGAAAAACACACACACACACACACACACACATACACACACACAGCCGCGGTAAGAACTGTGCAACTTACTCCAACTTTCTTGCTCCCAGTCCAAAATTACCAGCAACAATTCCTGGTGATTGAGACGCATTGCTCAAGACGCCAGGTCGTTCCTTGGCTAAGTTTGAGCCATGTGGCACTCACCAGCTTGTCGCTTTGCTCCCTGCACCAGATTGCATGGAGCTACAGCTAGTACAAGTAATTCGTACCTCGCAGCCTTGTGAAGTTGTGGTTCCATAAATTTTAGCTATCCGAGTTTCAGAGTACAAAAAGAAGAAGATGACCAGTACTGAACTGTACATGCAAATTTCAATTGGCCTGACTACTAAACTTTAGCGAAAACACTCCTTTTGCTAAAATCGCTAAAATATCACCGGCGCCAAAATTAGCCGCTTTGCAGTACAGTGTACCGCATTTGTGGGAGTATAACGCGCACCTGAGCATAATGATAGCTTGCATAGACCCTGGTCCTACCGGTAGACATGCCACACTGGCTATATACCAGTGTCTTCCATAAAATTGAAACCACACACTACATAGAGCCATTCGGTGAAGTTCTGAAAATTTGGACGCGGTTGGAGGAGTACTACCGCAGGCTACCATAGCAACGCCCATGGAAGCGGCAGAACAAAAGAAAATATATTGAACAATAAATAATGTAAGATGAGCATAGCAGGCTGACTGATGTAAGCAATGCATTATAACGACCGTGTCGAATGTTGAATTGCCGGGTACCATGGCAACGCCCTTGGCAACAGTAGAAAAAAGGAGTTATAATGAAAAATAAATAATATAGATGCAAGCATGAGCATAGCAGGCTGAACACACGTTCACTCAGTGTGGCAGGCCATGGACGATGTGGTATTGAAAGCACGTACGTCCCGTGGCAACAGTAGAACGCCCTTGGCAACAGTAGGAAAAAGGAGTTATAATGAAAAATAAATAATATAGATGCAAGCATGAGCATAGCAGGCTGAACACACGTTCACTCAGTGTGGCAGGCCATGGACGATGTGGTATTGAAAGCACGTGCGTCCCGTGGCCGGAGAGCACATCACGGCATTCGGCCCACACGTGGAGCAATAGTAGCTCGCCTTCCTGCCCGAGTCGCGGACATGCCTGCACACAACACATTTACGCTGTGTGTGTGGCTTGCCGCTGACCTCAGACAGGGATACCAACCGATGCTCGGTGCCGTTAGGCTGATCTGCTTCAGGTTTCGCAGCACCTGTTTGACTTTGCGGCTGCTGCGGGGCGTTGTAGCGGATCAGTTGCTCCGCAAGACGAGTGGTGAATGCCGAGTGGGTGATCTTGTCGAGGCCACAGCAGAAATGGGAAAATGCAAGGTAAGCATTTGTCTCCATGATGCCAAACACTGAGGCATACACACGATGGTGCCAGGTGTCCGTGCGCCACACTTGCTCCAGAGCCAAGCCATCCTGCCGAAGGTGGTTGTGCACATCAATGGAAGGCGCGCCATCGTGGTACATTGCCACCAACTTCGGTCGATCAACTGTCTTGAAGTACAGCTTCAAGTTGTCATCATACCGCTTTTTCTTGGCAGGATCTACGGCAAGAGTCGTCCCGCACGTGCTGACAAACGAATGCACCTTCCTGTCGCGCCATGCCACGGCATTCAGTGCTATGCCGTCCCTCTGCGCGGTTGCGGACACGAAGCGGCCTTTCGGAGAAGGACACATAGAGACAGGAGCTTCAACGGGAAGGCTGTGTGCGCCGTCTTGACAACACCCGCAAAGAAGAGCCCATGCTTCATAAGAGCGACTGCTGTCTTGACGGATGCAAACCAGAAATCGCCGCACACGATTCTTCCCGAGCCATGCCATGTATCCGTCAGTCGCAAAGTTGTGGCAGTTCCAGCACCGAACTCTTTCGGCCGGGCCGGATTGAAGTCTGCCACTTCAAATTGCACATGTCGATGAGGGGGCTCACAATTTTCCAGCCGCGCCTGGTGTCTCCGCTGACTGGTGGACGAAAGTGCATGGCAGCAAGAATTTCCTCAAAGCGATTTGCTCCAATGCCGTATCGACGTCCGAAGGCTGGTGCTGGAAGGAGACCCTCGGTCACACTCCAGTGGTCACGCCGTTGGCAACGTACTGGACACAGCGTCAGCAGGTAGAGGAGACCTATCACCTTGTAAAACTCATCGCGGGTTACAGATTTCCGCTTGTCACGCAGGTGAGCATTTGTGCACTTCACTATCTCATCCATTTCCTCGTGCGGAAAGAACAGCATCCAGGCGTCCAATTCATTCATTGTGTGCAAATTGTCAGCATTTACTTTCGCTTTGTACGGAATATCCTTGTACTGATCGATCACTATGTCACCCAATGTCCAGTCCAAACCATGTGCCTGAAGAACAGTGGGAGCGTCTTCAAGACTCGAACCTTCACTACTGCTACATTCCGATGAATCCGAATCACTATCGTCGTCACTGCAACAGCTACTTGAGCTGCTGTCGTCACCATCGAGTGCAGCTAGTGCAGGTTGTCGCCGCGTCGATACGGGGTCTTGGGAAGTCGGATTTACTGACGGTGAAGTATCATCGTCGTCGTCAAACAAGCATTGGTCAGGCTCTGGAGTTGGAGAGCGGCGGCGTTTTCTCGATGGAACATTGGACGACTGAGCAGAACGTGCCGCACGCACAGATCCAGAACTTACACTACGACTATTTGCACAGGTACGACTATTACTAGGCCGATCGGTTGAAGTATCGTCGTCGTCGTCAATCGAATGTATCTCCGCAGGCTCCGGAGTTGGAGAGCGGCAGCGTTTTCTCGATGGAACATTGGACGACAGAGCAGAACGTGCAGCATGCACAGATCCAGAACTTGCACTACGACTATTTGCACAGGTAGGACTATTACTAGGCTGATCGGCTACATCGCTGTCGCTGTCCTCAAAACGCTTGGGACGAACAATTCTACGCTTACCTCTTGCTCCGTCGTCGCACGGGTCGGACTCTGCAGCTGCACGAACGTCAGCAACGGCTACAATCGATGTAGTACTGTCCAAATCCCACTTTATTCTGCATCAAAAGTCACACTCAAAACAGTGCCCAAACACTCCGCACTTCTCCAGCTGTCTCCGTAAGCGGAGAATGACCATCGATCCTCATCGTGTGCGTAAAAACCATGATCAAAAGTCGTCGCTGGCACAGTTACTCGCGTTCCGACCTGAATCAATGTAGGCATTTTGACAATGAAAATTTGCGCATGCGCAGTGCGCAGAACATGTGCCCGCGTCTTGCGCCACTGCTAAGGAGTCCAAAGATTACAACAACCCAGTTCAAAAAAAAATTCCCAAGCGTTCAGATTTTCTCAGCGTGATTTCCAGCGTCCTACCGGTAGGACGCAACGTCCTACCGGTAGGACGCTATGCAAGCTATCAATAATGCGCACCTTTTTTGACCAGCGCTTTAGGAATTCAAGTTATATCCTGAGTACTGTATATTGCACAGCCTAGATGAGAGAAAACTATGGATCATGTAGGCAGTATTATAGAGCGACCATTGGCAAAATTATCAAGAAATTGTCAAAATGTGTGCATTTTCTTAATGCACGTGCTACCCAAGGGGTCACGTACTCAACTTGCATTTGCAGTGTAGCCAGCAGGATACACCACAAATGCATGGATATGGCTTGTGCAGGGTCAGATTTCCCAACAGTTCGATACATTGCACTACTTTTCCAAGTGAATGCATTCTCATATTCGCAGAACAATGTGCACGGTGCGATTTGGGGCGTGAAATGGCGCATCTACAGTGCGTTTCAAAAATACAGACGCGTGATTTCATAAAACCGTTAGGCCAGCATCTATGCCACATAAAATCTGTGATCACTTCAAAATTGGGCGTTTGCTATCCGATCGCTTAAAAAAATCTATATGACGGTAATTGCGTGAAGGACCTGAGCAATATTCCGAAACAAATTCTCAAAAAGCTCCAGCCAAGTTTGAAATATTTCAAAAATACCATGCGTCTATATTTTTGAAATGGACTGTTGTAGTGCACATTCTGGCAAATACGGTGCATACATTTCCAGGGCCACATCAGCAGAATTCCACTTACCACATTTTTCTGGTGTGTTCTGTGCCTTTTGTCCAATGTAGTCCAATGCTCTGCCGACGGTGTCTTCCCCCAAATGTTCGCGGGAGGCCCCGGTCAGACTCCTAAATGTGAAGGAAAGCTTGAGCCTGTTCCCAACGTTGCAATCCATTGCGAATATGTCCGTGGCTCACCACCTTCCGGTCGTCACTATCTCACTCTTAATACAGGAGGCATCAACGGTATCAAACGGTATCAAGGCAGCCCTTGCTTCAAACGTTAGTGAAACAATTTGCCACTTGCCGTATACTACATGTTCCACCATTGTAACTAGATACTATTATAGTGCAACACTGTACAGCCTCTGTTCGAACATTGACCTAAAACTTGACCGCGGCTAAGGGACTAATGAAGGATTCCACAAATTTTAGACGTGATAGTACAAGGGATAATAGATTCTATGGCAACAGCCCATGGTAACCATGGAAACATAGTATGGAATTTTTTATTCCACGGCCAGGTTAAGAAAAGATTAGGTCCTCACCACGATCGATGTGCCTTCGTCAAAATTCACTTTGGACAGAGTTGCTAGCGCTCCGACAGCATGTGCGGCCCTTTTGACAATTGTATCCATATGTCTCTTGCCTTTCTACTTTTTTCTTATCACATGTGCAAGACCAACGCAACAAAACCACGGACGAATCACTCATCACTCGACCAAACTAGCATTGCGCATGCACGACACTTACTTGACAGTCACTCTCACACAGACGGAAGCAGATCCTCACATTCTCTGACAAAGCGTACTCTTGTATGCACCACATACCAACAAGGCAAATGATGCACAGAAGCATCAGTCTTCACAAGGCTGGAAACCAGCTCTAGAGCCAAGCGAAGTTGTCCCAAAGTTGTAGCAAAGTTGCACACTTCAAGGAAATTTGCTATGAGCTGCCAACTCTTTATCGAGCTCGATCTTTTAACATGCCTGCAAGTCTACTGCTCGATTCAAACAGAAGTTATCATGGCACCAAGTGGCAAAATGCGCAGAAAAAAGGAGAAAAAAAGGAAAATAAAGTGCCCACGCACTGTGCATAAAAGGTCTTTGAGCGCGTTTGGATTTACGTATCTGTTGAGCACAATAACTTCATGATTGTTGCTCGTATCGCTTCGGCGTCTGTTGCAATCGAAAGCTGAGAGCTTTCTCTTTGACCTACAAATTTCGGTTGTGAGAACGTACTCGTGTCCTGTAAATTCTCATCAATACGCCCAAATGCTCACACTACAGTTCTGTAAAAGCAGAAATTTTCGGTGGTGTAATATTTTCGGTATTCTCCAAAATCAGCGGTTCGGTGGAGAGAAATTTTTTTATTTTCGGTGAAAATTGTCGGCACCGAAGTTACCAAAAAAACACCACCGAAAATTTCTGCTTTTACAGCAGTCGGGGAAGTGAATTCTTTGAATTTGCTTTGTGTCTTTCTTGAAACGTTTCTAGCCAACCACTGTCCTGAAGAAAGTTTTCATAATGGACATCTCCCAATGACTCCTAAAGAAACCAACGCTACTGCTACTTGCAGTGATGGATTTGCTCCCACCGGAAGAAAGGCCTACTGCAACTCACAACAGCGCTGGGATTATGTCGGTGTTACTTTGTGCGGAGGTCAGTTGAACACAGTGTTGTGTGTGTGTGTGTGTGTGTGTGTGTGTGTGTGTGTGTGTGTGTGTGTGTGTGTGTGTGTGCGTGTGCGCGCGTGTGCGTGTGTGTGTGTGCGCGCGCTCACACGTATTCAATTCACAATGGCCCACTGGATATTGCACACCTGAGGTCCCGCTAAGCCTTGAACTTGTTTTCGCCTGTATCCAATTTAATAAGAGAGCATGTCTGAGAATGCCACACAATGTGTGCAAGTTGATCTCTCCGACTTTACTCAAATTATGCAGGTAGGTTTCCTTTGGGGTGTAGATCGACGGTGCCAAGCCAGTGGAAAAGTTTCTGAAGGGAACCTTGAAATTGGCATAGCCATAGGAAATGGTCAAAAATCACATGATTTATAGGTCTACAAAAGAGCCACGCCACATTGCCTCACTGTAGAAGAGCTCCTGGAGAAACTCCGGCCGCAGGTGTCACACAGAACTGGCTTGATCTTGTGCTCAGTCCTGGTGCGGTGCGCACAAGCAACGGCTTCACGGCATGCTGACCTCCAGGTACTCCGGCAACTGGTTGCATCACACACGTCTCTCTCCTATAATTGGTGCACATGTATCTATTATTGCACGATTAAAGAGGTCAATATATTTCATATATTGACCAATTATGAGGGCAATAATAAATTCCCATTATGCTTTGACCAGTCTGCATTGAATATTGTTTGCCTGATGATTGCACACGGTGCATGAAACTCGGAGTTGCAAAACAATACGAGTGATCCATTGTTTGTTGACATATATATATATATGTTGTAGTACGTTATTTTGTGTACGTCGTGTGTACGTCATGTTGGTGCATGCGCGTGTTGCTGTGGTATGAAAAGCAGTCTTCGTCTTGAGTTCATGATGTCTTCGTCTTGAGTTCATCATGTCTTCGTCTTGAGTTCGTCATGTCTAGTTGTGTTTCTTCGTCGTGTCAATAAACAGTCTTCTAAATGTAGTTATCGTCGTCCCATTTGTACAAGTGTGGAGATGGCATGGGACTGGGAGCAGGTAGAGAAAAGCGAGTTACAACATTGGTGGCAGCGGTGGGATTCGAACCCACGCCTCCGGAGAGACTGGAGCATATACACTCAGACACAAAGGATCTCCAAGTTTCTCAGTGTTGCTACTCTGAGTTTCGTGCAAAAGCACTCTTCAGGCAACTCACTCTTCTCTCACATCAGTATCCCTTTACATACCAGAAAAGACGAAAAGAAGCACCCTAGGTGGGAATCACAGGTGGAGAAAAGAAGCACGCTAGCCAGTCTAGGTGGGAATCACAGGTGAAGATAAGTGTGGCAAGTGTGGTGGCGTGAGCAATCGCGCAGGCCGGGTGGTGTGCATAAAGTGAAGTGTGGTAGTAGGATGCATGCACATTAGATAGCAGGAGTTCTGTATATGTGTAACAGATAGCAAGCGCAGTCTACAGTTCAGGTCACCTCCGATAGGAGGTACTTGGTGCTGTGGCGACATTTCTCGCTGGCGTTGCAGTCCCCGTTGAGTGGGCAGTTTGCTTTGATACGGCAGTTACATCTCTTTTCTTCCGGCTGTCTGAGGACTTTCGCGTTGTGGCCCTTGATTATCGAGGCTAAGTTAGGAGAACAGCTGTAGCGTGTTTTTGTTAAATATTTTTCTGAGGGCAGATCCTTCTGGGAAATGGCGCTTGACAAGTCGCAGGAATGTCGCGCCAACATCAGTCTTCACGGATTGGCTGTACGGTGGGTTAAACCAAATGACGGTCCTCTTCCGATTCTTTTTCCTCCTGGCTTGTCCTTCCGTGTTCGTCGGTTCCTCGTTATAGACGAGTGCGCAGTTGAAGCCACTTTTTGAGAGAGCTGCAGCGTACGTGGGGGCAGCCTCTTCAAAGACTTCTTGATTGGCAGAGACGCTCGTTAGGCGCTTGTTGATGGACTGCGGCAGGTTTTTGATTACTATTGGAAGATGGTTAGACTCACGGTTGAGGTAGAGGGGCGTGTCCCCGGGCTTGCGGTATGGCTTGTAGGTGCCTGTTTCGAGGTTTAGAGTGACGTCTAGGAAGTCGGTTACTTTTCTGTTGACGTCGATTGTTATCTTCAGGCCGAGTGATTGGAACATACCGATGATGTTCTTCCGTATCTTGTCTGCCCTCCAACCCGGCACTCTCCTTAGGGTAGCTAGGCCATCATCACGGTACAATCCGATTGATGGCTTGTCGATGTAGCTTGCCAGCTTGTTCAGGAGTAATGCGCCTACCAGCTGGCAGACCTCAGCTCCGTCGTAAGACCCCATGGTTATGTCAAATCCGTTAGCGTTGTCCTTTTTTACCCATGTTTTTGATGCGTCAAATAGCAGAGATCTCCTCGCGTGCATAATGATGTCTACGTCGCTCTTGCTGACGTGGTGTATTGCGCTGCGAATCTCAGTGCTTGGTGGAGGAGGTCTTCTGTAATTGACGGGTAGTAGCTGACGATGTCGAAGCACACGAAGGTTCTCTCATTTTTGTCGTCCAATCCTCGGAACCAATCTAGAACCGATGCTGTGTTTCTCCATAGCTGGATGTCAGTCGCTTTGGTGACCTCAGTTGTGATCCTGTCCAATATTGTTTTGCTGATGATGCCCATCTCGGCCTTTGCTGGGTTGATTAACCTGCATGGCAGATCGTTGGCGAATCTGTCTTTATGATCCTTGAAGGTCAGGAATGCTTGAGACTCTGCCATCGTGTCCATGCGGTCATCCAGCGGCTTCTCCATGTTTTGTGCGATGCTCTTTGCCCCTCTGTTGATGTCCTTATACATTGCTGCCGGGGCTGTTTGCCGAACTCACCGCCCCACGTCGCTGAAATGAAGGCGTTCGAGGATGACCTAGTGAAAATGATGGAGAACGTAAAATTCAGGCGTGTAAATGGGCCCTTTCAAAACGACCTGAGGGAAAAAGCCCGGTCCATTTCAAAATCCGACAAAGTCATTGTCAAAGCTGACAAAACCAGCAACTTGTGCTTCGGATTCAAGAGCAGGAACTCACCGCCCCACGTCGCTGAAATAAAGGCGTTCGAGGATGACCTAGTGAAAATGATGGAGAACGTAAAATTCAGGCGTGTAAATGGGCCCTTTCAAAACAACCTGAGGGAAAAAGCCAAGCCAAGGCCTACAGCAACATAACGAAAAGATGCAGCCCTCTGCCGCCTCGTCACCATCATCATCTTTGCACCACGGAATTCACTAGCTAGGCCAGCTCGGTTTTATCACCTTTATCACCTTAGTAACACGATCCTTACTGGCTATGACACTGAATCGGATATGAGTTGATAGCGCCCCTAGCGCTTTCTGTTATCCTTGTCCCGCCATACTGGGCTTTAAATAGTGGGTTATTTTTCTTGATGTTCATATCACCTGATGAGTGCCTGAGATGGCATGAAACTTTAAGTTGTGACTGATCAAGCCATCTGTTGTCCTGACTAGTGTATATATAGATTGAATATATATCGCAGATTGAGTATATATACATACACGTTCGGGCCCCCGCCCCACCACCAAGCGCCAAGTTACATCAGAGTGTAGGAAAAGTTTTCCTCTGTCCCTGCTGTGTGTAACACACTCAATTAAACAAATTCTGGTGTGTTCTGTGCCTTTTGACCTATATAGCCATATGCGGTGCCACAAAGGTATATCCTGCAATGGTGGAGGGACAGACAGAGGCTCCTATCTGTGGAGATGACATACCTGTTCGAGACATTAAAGTCCAATGCAACAGGTGGGGACAACACATTATCAAGAAACTCGGCAGGTCGTATAAAGGCCCGGCTTGCAAAAAAGGTATTACAATTTGCCACTTGCCGTACTTTCTGTGCACGTGTGTGTGTGTGTGCAGGAGTGTCACACGCGGTACGACCAGTGCGACGACGGTCGCACCACTTCTCATCCACGTCCGCCCAGGGCACCTTGTAGTGTGTGTGTGTGTGTGTGTGTGTGTGTGCGTGCACGTGTGTGTGTGTGTGTGTGTGTGTGTGTGTGTGCGTGCACGTGTGCGTGCACGTGCGTGTGTGTGTGTGTGTGTATGCATGTTTGTATGGTCCCTTGCATGTGTGCATGTGTGTTCATCTTCATCTGTTTCCCGTTTCCTCCACTCCTGTTTTCACCCCGTTCACGGATCACCTTGGCAACTGACCAAAACCCTGTACATTGAAGGCACGCTTGCATGGTCTTGCTAGGGAACAGTCATGCATGTGTGCAAGTTTAGTGGATGAACTTGTCCAAGGCGGCAGCTTTGCATGTTCGGTCGAATTCTGCACACGTCTCGTTTACCAGCTTTGCACTTAGCTTGCTATTATTATTAACCTCATCATTGTATCCTTGTATCTTCTCCTAAACCCCTGATGATGCCTTCCTGGGTGAAAATTTGCAAACAATCGTTGTGCTTGGTGTTGGCGTGGACTGCTCGTGTGTTATGGGTTGCAGGTTTAGCGAAAAGTTATGATTGTGAAAATGAAGTTGAAGACACCACTGCAGCTGTACTTTAAGTTGATAAATATAGTGGTAAACACAAGTCGAGGTCAATATCCTATTTATCACGATTCCTTTGCCATAACCCCAAAATTTGAACCTTTAGGAGCTATTTTAACCTTTTTAGTATAGCATTTGTACTATAGTGTACATAGGATGTTGCCTATTTTGGGTACAAGACTGTAAGAACAACAGGGTTCGGCATCTGCAGCACAGTGGCTGGGTGGTATAAGGGGTTGCTTGAGATTCATACTGTTGTGGGAACGAATCCTGCTTGTTCTCTTCCTTTGCCTTCTTTCTTTCAATTTTTCTTTTTGAAGTGGAGAGAAAAATTCTAAGTCCCTCC